AAGGGTGTGGTTTACGGTTTAAGCTAGTTGATATTTGATCTCACAGACTTCATATTAACTGCTTCTACGGATTTAGAAGTTTAACACGAAAGGGGATATATGTTCTTCGTGTTGCTTTTGTTCTTTGCAAAGACTATTGATAGAATAGAAACAATGATAAGGACACGAATTCCACGGCAGACTGACTTGTAAACAATGATGATGTTAATGGGCTATTCACAAAAGTTTACACTCATTGTTATATACTCACTCACTCACTCACTCTCTCTCTCTCTCTCTTCTCTCTCTCTCTCTCTCCTCTCTCTCTCTCTCTCTCTCTCTCTCTCTCTCTCTCTCTCTCTCTCTCTCTCTCTCTCTCTTCTTTCACCACATTCTCTTTCTCTCTCGCTCTCTCCGCTTCTTCATCTCCTTTTCTATTTCTCTGCCTCGTTCTCCCGTTTGTCTCTCTGTATCTGGTTGTCTCCGCATATACATTTCCATACTTATGAGTGTGTATTTGTATCTAGCTATTATATATATATATATATATATATATATATATATATATATATATATGTGTGTGTGTGTGTGTGTGTGTGTGTGTGTGTGTGTGTGTGTGTGTGTGTGTGTGTGTGTGTGTGTGTGTGTGTGTGTGTGTGTGTGTGTGCGTGTCTGTGTGTGCGTGTGTGTGCGTGCGCGTGTGTATACACACATATTGTAAATGTACACACCCACAAGTATTTAATCCAATATTTTTGTTATTATCTTCAGTATGCGCGAATCGTTTGACATGCACATTAACAAGGAAATCTAAAAGATTTTCATTTGTTGTGTGCTATTAATATTGTGACCGCCGCTTGTTTTGAAATACATATTTTAGTTTGCCACTTCTAATAACACCGATAATCCACTTGTCACTTCCATTATCAAAAGGAAATTTCTGGGCAGTGATGTCAAGTGGCAGGTCCAGATAAGCTGACGGGGAGAAGATTCACACCATAATATTAACACAAAGTTAAAAAAAAAAATAAGAATATGGTTTCTGCTGCTATGCCTCTCTTGAAGTACTTGTGAATAAAAGCATTGTTCGTCTTACAATATAGCGGAAAATGTGTATATTTTGAAAAGCTTTAAGTGCCCACGTGTTCCCTGTGCCAATTTCGAAGACTAGGTATTCAAACGATACTAAATTCCTTTTTTTAGTGTTGAAACTCCATGACAGCCAGCAAAATATCAGCTGCTGAATGCCGGACAGGGAAAGGGTTAAAAGCGTTACGTTGGACGAGATGAGTGAAGTTTCATCTATTCCAAAAATGGTCATCGGAAACGAGAACTCGGACGAGCAGAAGCGAGCAATGGCGTAAGGCTTACCGACGCAGCAAACTTTCTTTCCACCGCAGTCAATCGTCGTGATGGTGTCCTTGTTCTTGCATTTCTTTCCCCCGACACATTTCCCTTCGTTACTTTTACACTCCTCCTTCCCGTCCATCCTTGAACCTCTTTTCTCTCCTGTGATGGCTGATGAGTCGAGGGATTTCGTGATAGTAATCATTTGAGATTTGTTCAGTCCTCAGATATATAATTCTTAAATATGTTTTGAAGGTATCATGGATAAAATGATTCATATAAGAATAATAAGATTAATGAAAACATCTGACTGGAACGATAGAGGATTGACGCTTACCCTTACGACAGCACACTTTATTCTGCCCGCTGCATCCAATATTCTTGATTACATCCTTTTCTTCACATTTCTTTTCTTTCACGCAACTTCCATTCTTGTCTTCGCATTCAGCATTTCCGTTTTTCTTTGACGTTCTTCCACCTAATTGGAAGATATCACTGATCTTAATTCACCGCTCAGTGTGGACATGACGTCATCACGGGCAAAATTGGAACCTTTGACATATTTCTTTAAACATTTTGATAGATAAAAAGTGACAAAAGCAACCAAAATCAATAAGAATCTGACACTTACCTTTGAGACAACACACTCTATTCTGCCCGCTACATTTAACGTTCTTGAGGACGTCTTTTTCTCCGCATTTCTGTTCTCCCACGCATCTTCCATTACTGTTTCTACATTCATCTTTTCCGTTTTTCTTTGATGATCTTCCACCTAATTTCGGGGCATTAGTAATCATAAAAATGGTTTGATAATTGATACCTTACTTTCTACCTAACTGGAAGATCTCATTGATCGTTATTTCTGAATAAATTCTTGCTACTTTAATTCACCGCTCAGTGTGGACATAAGGTATCATGGGCCAAAAAATTCAGATAGGTGAGAAGTGACAAAACCAATAAGTGTCTGACACTTACCTTTGCGACAGCACACTTCATTTTGCCTGCTACATTTAACGTTAAGCACGTCTTTTTCTCCGCATTTCTGTTCTCCCACGCATCTTCCATTACTGTTTCTACATTCATCTTTTCCGTTTTTCTTTGATGATCTTCCACCTACTTGGAAGATATCACTGATCTTAGACATTATTTCTAAATGAATTCTTGCTACTTTAATTTACTGCTTAGTGTGGATATGTCCTAAGGGGGCCGTCCTGTTGAATTTTCGACGAATAATTTTAATCTAGTAGGCTGTGGCAATCTCGTGATGTAATATTTTTGCTAAATATGTACATATTAAAAGAGTTATGACTAAATCTTTGACCCCCCCCCCCAGATCTGGGAGGTTGCGTGTTGTTCTATGCCTCAGCGCAACACCCTAATGCACCCTCATCACACAGTAATTAGCCAGTACTAATGATAAATGTTATTCCTGTAACTAATAAACATAATATGATGAGAAATATATCTCAATCACAGTTGCAGTACTTATTTATTCGTTTGAAATGCCTCGCGAACCACTGGGAAGCCTATAGTGACATGCAGTACTTCTACAATCGTGTGCACTCATTGCCATTAGTACCTTCCAAAAGAGGGGTTGCCAGGTACCAGTTACACTAGAATACGTGTGAATGCCACAGAATGCATCAAGACTGACGCAGAAATCAGATTTCTAATGAAAAACAAAAATATGGAGAAAAAAGTAACCTCAACTTCAAAGCCTATTTCAAAACTACACCATTGTCAACATTTTCTTATATATCTCCATAACTACTTGGGCGATTCTAATGGGGTTTGGATCATTTGAAAGCTGAATAAATTTGTTATTTTTTGTACCTGGGGATTTTCATTTCAGATGATAAAAGTCTATATATTATGTTTTATCTTCAAAACAATGAGCATCTAAATATATATATTTTTTCCCACTAATCTAAGAGGAAATTTCAAAATCCGTAGGCACAAGATTTAGGTATTGCTATAGAGATTATGTGGGATTTTTTTTTTTTTAAAGTTCGGTCAATGGATAAGTGAGATATATCAATGTTTTGATTTTCAAAATCTAGTTTTTTAAAAATTATTTCATTGTTTATTATCCAAATGAAATGAAACTTGGTAGTGTAAATTGTAGTATGTGTATATATAACATACTAAAAAAATCTGATCATAATTAACAAATTTCATTCTCGAACAGGATGGACCCCCTAAGGTATCGCAGGGAAAATTGGAACATTTGACATATATCCTTTTCTAAACGTTCTGATAGATATAAAGTGACAAAATCAACCAAAACCAATAAGAGTCTGACACTTACCTTTGAGACAACACACTCTATTCTGCCCGCTACATTTAACGTTCTTGAGGACGTCTTTTTCTCCGCATTTCTGTTCTCCCACGCATTTTCCATTACTGTTTCTACATTCATCTTTTCCGTTTTTCTTTGATGATCTTCCACCTAATTTCGGGGCATTAGTAATCATAAAAATGGTTTGATAATTGATACCTTACTTTCTACCTAACTGGAAGATCTCATTGATCGTTATTTCTGAATGAATTCTTGCTACTTTAATTCATCGCTCAGTGTGGACATAAGGTATCATGGGCCAAAAAATTCAGATAGATGAGTGACAAAACCAATAAGAGTCTGACACTTACCTTTGCGACAGCACACTTCATTTTGCCTGCTACATTTAACGTTAAGGACGTCTTTTTCTCCGCATTTCTGTTCTCCCACGCATCTTCCATTACTGTTTCTACATTCATCTTTTCCGTTTTTCTTTGATGATCTTCCACCTACTTGGAAGATATCACTGATATTAGACATTATTTCTAAATGAATTCTTGCTACTTTAATTTACTGCTTAGTGTGGATATGTCCTAAGGGGGCCGTCCTGTTGAATTTTCGACAATAATTTTAAGCTAGTATGGCAATCTCTTGCCTGAATCTTTACTAATGTGTTATTCAACATCACTCAGTGTGGACATAAGGTATCATGGGCCAAAAAATTCAGATAGATGAGAAGTGACAAAACCAATAAGAGTCTGACACTTACCTTTGCGACAGCACACTTCATTCTGCCTGCTACATTTAACGTTAAGGCTCCGCATTTCTGTTCTCCCACGCATCTTCCATTACTGTTTCTACATTCATCTTTTCCGTTTTTCTTTGATGATCTTCCACCTACTTGGAAGATATCACTGATCTTAGACATTATTTCTAAATGAATTCTTGCTACTTTAATTTACTGCTTAGTGTGGATATGTCCTAAGGGGGCCGTCCTGTTGAATTTTCGACGAATAATTTTAAGCTAGTAGGCTGTGGCAATCTCGTGATGTAATATTTTTGCTAAATATGTACATATTAAAAGAGTTATGACTAAATCTTTGACCCCCCCCCCCCAGCTCTGGCTCAGATGTTTACTTTATCGTTTCCGTGCAAATAGACTCAACCCTTATTTTTTTATTTAATTTATTCTTTGGCAGCTAGCTGGCAATTCTGCTTACAGCACAGCCGACAGCCACGACAAAGAGACAAGGCTGGCAGTCATCACGAGAGAGCCGGAGTGGGAGGTTGCGTGTCGTTCTATGCCTCGGTGCAACACCCTAATGCACCCTCATCACACAGTAATTGGCCAGTACTAATGATAAATGTTATTCCTGTAACTAATAAACATAATATG